TCTAATAGCATCTCTGATAGATTATTCATCTGGTAAAATGGTTTTACTGAATGAAGATATAACTTAACAGCCRTAAACATACCTTCGAAAGACCTTCTTGTCAGCCTTCTCTCCTTCGCTTCGTCCGCCATTGTTTACTATCAAACTAGTACCTAGTCCTGCTCGGTTGCATCACGGATCGTCCAAGAGCAGTATGTTCGTTTCCACGCCCTCTCTCCCTTCGCCCTGGTCCGAGGCGTTATGGACTTCTCATACTCATTAATTATTCGGGAGGGGAAAAAAGGGAAGGAAATACATATAACAGAAATATATTGATTTATTGCATCTCCACTAAGGTTTCAGCTTTCATAATTTTGAATAAAGAAGCACCGTTTGTTGTTTTCCAATTCCCGAACGGCTTTCTGAAACAAAAGCTTTTTAAATTGCCTTTGTTTGCTTTAAATGTCATTCCTAATGAGCCTAATTCATAAGTTTTATAAGTATGCTATCTTCCAAGGAATCACATCAGAAACTCGGTTGTTTAATGGTATACTGACGGCGCATATAGACTGGACGGTTCAGGATCGTTTCGTGAGGGAGTCATTTATCAAAGACCTTTTTTCACGAAATTAATTTTATATTAAATTGATTATTTCTAATAATTTGATTGTTATTAGCTAGTAGTAGTTAGAAAAAGCCAGAGGTAACTGGATACAAGGTAGAAGTAACTGGGAATAAGGTAGAAGTAACTGGAAACAAGTTTGAAGTAACTGTGATTAACGGGACAGCCATGCGTGCACGCGGACAAGAGAGTAGTGAGGGAGGGGTGGTTCAGGTAAATTGTAGATAATTGTGAGGGGAGGGGTAAGCAGGATTAGTTGTGACATCATCACACTGTTAATGACGTAATAACACAGGAAGCCCAACTATTACAGAAGATTACGAATGTCCCCGAACAATTACGAAAATGTACCGGAGTAAAAGCGGAGTTATCCCGAATTACATTCATACACACGCACTTACAAGGCGATAGCATAGTGGCTTGAGCCTCGTTCCGAGGCACTAGCCACAAAAATTCACAATGAAAATACAATCCAAACAGCAACGATGGCGCGAGCGTGATTGATGCTCTCATCAAAGCACGCTTTTTGGCTAATCACAGCGTGTGTTATTTATATTCCAATTATTTTAGGATTCCATATATTTCTTTTCTAGATGTCAAAGTACACCAGCTCAAGACGGACTGCATAGAGGTGTACATTATGATTATTACGACCGATTTTGCTATGAAGGCTCTAGGTTAGTCGTGACTTCTGGTTCTTACGGTCGTGATGGGTCGACATATGGCACAGAGGTAGATTCCTTCATGAGAGCTTACTCCTATGGATATCAAGGAAAAGGACCTCAGAGGTTCCTTATTAAGACCAAAGAAAATCAGAAAATGACATTTGGATCTAACGCTAATTCCCGCGTTTTCGCGCATCGCGTTCAAAGTATCCACGCGTGGAAACTGGATTCAATAAGCGACTATTTTAACAACGTGATCAAGATTAAGTACGTGGACAACACGAATGGTTTATTGGTATCAAAGATCTCTTATAACAATATGGTTATTTCATTTGAGTACGAAGCTCGTAGTGATGTCTCCACACAGTATCTCAATGGCGGTGTCTTTTTCACGCAAGACAAACGACTTAGATCTGTCAAGACACTTGTATCAGGTCATCTCCACCGTGAAATCAAAATAACGTATCAAACAGCTAAGACTTTACGACAGAGCATCATATCGACTGTCCAGCTGTGTTCCAGGGGTGGAAAATGTTACAAACCGGAGACAATGACATATCAAGGTACTGTTGATGCGAAAAGAACCAACAGCCCAAGATACTGGATTCATGAGTTTGGATATAATCAAGGATGGCGTGTAGGTACCCACTCTCGTCAGGTAGTGGATATGAATGATGATGGTTTGGCAGATATAGTGGGATTTTCCAACGGTGGAGTTGTGGTGGCTCTGAACAACGGAGGATCATTCAAGCGTCATAGAACATGGGTGCATTCGTTTGGCTCTAGTTCGAGTCGATGGAGAGGTCAAAACTCACGATATGTTGTAGACGTGAATGGTGACCACCTTCCAGACATAGTTGGAATTTCTAATGATGGTGTCTATGTTTCTCTTAATACTGGAAAGGAATATTTCACTTTTGCAAGAAAATGGTTGTATCGGTTTGAATATAACTATGGGTGGAGATTAAAGAAGCACGCAACATTGGTGAAAGATGTGAACGGGGACGGCTTAGTCGACATTGTTGGCTATGGTAATGGCGGTCGTGTGTACGTTGCCCTTGGAACTGGTTACCGTTTCAAAAGAATGCGAAGATGGTCGACAGACTTCAGATATTTTGCAGGTGCACGGCGGATTTCAAACCACCCAAGTTTTCTTGAGGACGTCACGGGAGATGGTCTTCCAGATGTTGTGAGAATAGCTAATGGTGGTATATACGTTGGAGTCAATACAGGAACGTCTTTTAAAACAGTTTCACGATGGGGAAGTCAATTTGGATACAACGCGCGAGGATGGAGAACCAAGCAATACCCTAGATTCTTGGTAGATGTCAACGGAGATGGCTTGGTTGATGTTGTTGAATTCTCATCCTATGGTGTAGAAGTTTCTCTATGTACAGGAAGGAGTTTTCTTCCTTCAAGGACATGGTTCCGTGGATTTTCTTATAACAATGGTTGGCGGGTAGAGCACCACCCACGATTTGTCCAAGATGTAAATGGAGACGGACTAGCTGATGTCGTCGGTATCAAAAATAGTGGAGTTTACGTTGCATTGAATTCTGGATCGTCATCATTTTCTTATAAAAAGAAGTGGACGGCAAATTTCGGTAAGAACAGTCAGTGGGAAAACAAAAATCACCCTCGTTTACTTGCTGATGTAACAGGAGACGGAGTTTTGGATATCGTTTGTTTTGCTCATTCAGGGGTATACATCTCTACAAATGATAATAAACAAACCCTGTTGACATCCATTACCGACAGCTATAAGAACACGCACAAGATTACTTACTCCTCATTGGCTGACAAAACGATTTATACTCGAGGAAACACTATGCCCTATCCGAATCCAAAAGTTAATGCTGCACAGACTGTGGTCAAACAATATACACGGAATAATGGCATTGGAGGGTTGAATACTACCTCATTTACCTACAGTGGCATGCGCGTTAATTTGAAAGGTCGTGGTGTTTTAGGGTTCAGTGGCATTACAGAGAAAAGACATGAAAATGGCGAAGCAGAAATTACATTTTATCATCAGAATTTCCCATTTACACGTATGACAAAATCCTATACAAAGAAAGTTGGTGGCCTTGCAGTACTTCAAAGTACTAAATCGTACGGTTCAAGATCTAGGAGTAGTAGTCAAAAGCAGGTTTTGCTACAGAAAGACGTTGTAAATCACTATGAACTCAACGGTAACCTTGTAAGAACGGAACAGCTAGTCATCAAAGACGTAGATGATTATGGAAACATTAAAATGATGAAAAAAATCACAACTGGAAACGGTAATACCTTTGAACAGAAAACAATAAATAATTACACTAATAATCCGCAAATATGGTACATTGGGCAGTTAGACTCCGTTGCAGTTTCTTATCACGGTGCACGCTCTACAACCATAGTGAGGCGATCGGCATTCTATTATGACCGAATCACAAGAAGTCTGAAATACGAACTCAGAGAACCAAACCATCACCTCGGAATCAAGACGTCGTATGTTTACGATTCTAAGGGAAACGTCGTTGAAAAAGCTAAAACTCCAATTTTGCCGAGATCAGCTTCCCTCACTCCTATTCCGCGCCGAGTATTTAAGACTTACGATAGGGAGGGTCTTCGTCTCCTGTCAACTCGAAACGATTTTGGACACACTGAATCTTACAAGTACGACATATTTGGTAACAAACTCTCCTTTGTAGGAGTTAATGGTCTGAAGACAACTTACAAGTACGACGCCTTTGACAGGCGCATCCAAGAAATTCGTCCAGACGGCGTTAATACCAAAATTGAACTATATTTCAGTGCTCATCACAGTTCTCTCAAGAGAGCGGTTTATATAGAGAAGACAACCAGAAGTGGAGACCAAGACACTCTCAAGATCTACGACTGCTTTGATAGACCTATACGTATACAATCAAAGGGATTTAAAGGTCAAGATGTCTACCAGGATATCGATTACGGTCCGTTTGGTCAAGTGCGAAGACAAAGTTTACCATACTATCCCAAGGGCCAATCACCTTCCTGGGTATTATTCAAGTATGATAAGATCGGTCGTGAAGTTCTTGAAGAACGACCATTAGATGGTCCAGTCACTGCTCGAAGAGTGACTTTGTATAATGGACTTGAATCAGTGACCATAGATGCTAATGGCAAAAGGAAAAAGATGGAGAGGGATGTATTAGGAAGAATTATCAAAGTGACGGATGCTCTTGGTGGAAAGGTGACATATCAGTACGATTCGGTTGGGAACTTGATCAAAACAACTGATCCTGGGGGTCACGTGACGTCTATGGCGTATGATCGCCTTGGTAACAAGATATCCATGAATGATCCGAATATGGGCCTTTGGGAGTACTCGTACGACGCACATGGTCAAAAGATATGGCAAAAAGACGCAGTAGGGAACGAAATGTTTTATACTTACGACAGACTGGGCCGCATGATTGATCAGCGTGCACCTGAAGGGAGAACAAAGTGGATTTATGACCAAAGCGCTCACGGAAAAGGAAAACTCTTTAAAACAGAATCTCCAAATGGTCACGTCAAGGAGTACACGTACGATAAGAAAGGAAGAGAGACTAATATCAGACAGCGAATAGATGGACAGACTTTTGATATCCACTCCAGCTACAACAATCTTGGACAACTTACCCAGCAAACGCTACCACAAAACAAGAAGGTGAACTACTGCTACGATGGCCAAGGATTTCTAACTGAGGTATCAAGAGTGGCGTGTGGTCAAGGATCATCAAAGTCGTTCTATTGGAAGGCGCTAGCCTATGATTCATTTGGGCACATTGCAAAAGAGCAGTATGGAAATGCACTATTGACTGACTACATTTATGATGGCACCAATCACATCAAATCCATTAAAACATTAGACTTTTCCAGTAAAATGAAGCGCCACTGGGAGTACAAATTCGATTCATCTGGAAACATGCTTGAGAGAAGAGATTTTTCAAATAAATGGAACACTAAAGAGACATTTTTTTACGATGCTCTGGACAGAATTACCAAGGCTGACATAAGAAGTATGAATCCAAATCAAAAATCAGCATTCAGTGAAGGTTGGGAGTACGACAGTTCCGGCAACCTTCGAAGGTACAGCGGATTTGGAGGTCGTCAGCATGAATATAGCAGCTCACAGCCCCATGCAGTCATCCGTGCTGGTCCCAATACCTACTCGTATGATGCGAACGGTAACATGGTAAAAAAGAATAACCAGCACGTGACATGGACCTCATTTAATAAGCCAAGAACGATAGAGAGAAAGACTAGAGATACCGTCAAGTTTGAATATGATGCCAGTCAAAATCGCTTTAAAAAGTCCAGTCCAGAAGAAACGAGCATTTACATAGGGAAATTATATGAAAAAATCACGGATAGCAAAATGAACTCACATAAATACTTTATATATGCTCTTGGAAGGCTGGTTGCTATAGATACAAAGGTAGAATCTGAACTATCATCATCGGCTTTTGTAAGGTACGTCCATGGGGATCATCTAAATTCCGTTGATACGGTTACTGACGAAAAAGGCAATATTATCGAATCACTCAGGTATAGCGCCTATGGACAGAGACGCTCAGAGCACTGGGCTAACTTTAAAGGATATACTATTCACGCACAACGCGGCATTACTACAACCGGCACTAAACGTGGATTCACAGGACACGAGCATCTAGAGGAACTAGATCTTATTCATATGAACGGTCGTATATACGATCCTGTCGTTGGGCGATTCCTCAGTCCTGACCCTCATGTTCAAGACCCCTACAACACTCAGAACTTGAACCGTTACAGCTACACTTTGAACAACCCTCTTAAGCATACAGATCCATCTGGTTACTTCTTTAAAAGGGTCTTTCGATTCTTCAAAAAATTTGTTAAACCAATAATCGTTACTGTCGCGGCTGTTGTGGTATCAGCAGTGACACTCGGAGCAGTTGCTCCATTGGCTTCTGCAGCGGTTGCATCGATAGGGCTTTCAGGTGCATCGGCTACAGTGGCAGCAGGTGCGATAGCAGGGTCAGCAGCTGGGTTTGTTGGAGGTACGATCGCTGGAGGATCTTTTAGAGCAGGCTTGAAGGGTGCGTTAGGTGGAGCTATTACCGGTGGAATTGGCGCAGGCGTCGGAGCTCATTTTGGTAGCACATGGAACCTTGAACGTGTCGCAGCCCAAGCCATAGGTGGGGGAGTAGCAAGCACATTTAGTGGTGGGGAATTTGAAGATGGCTTCTTTCTTGCTGGAGCAACAGCATCTGCAAATTACCTTTACAACACTGCAGTCCACTATGAGCCCACGTGGTACTCAGGGGGTCCAGCGCAACCAAAGACTCCAAATCAGATGCCCATCGAGGGAGCAAATAACATTGGTATTCAAGGTAATACTATTGACCCGACGGGTTGGCTAAACGAAGGAGGTAGAGTCAGCAGATTTTTGAACGAAATACCCGGAGTAAACGCTGTAGCAGGTTTGCATGATAGTTTTCAAGTCGGGATGGATAGCCTGTCAGGGGCCAGGGACATGCTGAATGTACCAGGGATGTTTCCAGCTGCAGGTATTACTTATGGCGCACTAATCGACGGCCCAGCTTCACAAGCATTGTTGGTGGACGAGGAACGCGTACATCGGGACTGGTATACCTTTTAAGCTCATTGGCTTTTTTAAATTAAGCGTTGTCGGAAACTTTTTTTTTAATACTGGAACATATGTTCTCTAGATTCGTCGCATATCACGTATATTTCACACGCGGAAGACTGATCTACGACTAATGGAAATGAAAAAAAATTTCGACGGAATTCTGCGATGTCCATAGATTAAGTTTTTGTTGTTCTCTAATAAATTTTCGTAAAATTGCTAAAAAAATTGCAGATTCAGGAAAAAAACAAGCTTATCTTTGCGGAAATCATTCCCGGCTCTTACGTCTCGTGATTGCGCTAATGACATATAAGTAAACAGAGTCCTGAAATTGATGTTCAAGGCATTACTATGAACAGATGTTAAAAGTTGACATTGATCTAGTATGTAAAAGAAAATAAAACACTTCAATGTTTTCTACTAGTTAAAATACATATCTTTAATTTAACATTTTAATTTAACAGCACAATTTAATACTTTCCCATTCCAAGATCAACCTATTCAATTTCCATGGCACTAAACGAATTTAAAAATGTTTTGATTTTCCTAGAGAAAACACTTCTTGCAAGCGCTAATGAAAACAATAATCTGCCACAATTATACAAAAAAAAAAGTGATTTGGAGCTTTGGTTCATATACAGTTTGAGTTTCGCCCAAAAATGCTGAGACTTCTAAAATAATCACCAAGCGTTTATTACAAATTATTAAAAAATCCGATCAAGTTGACTTTACTGCAAAAAGAAACTGTCATCTTTATCTAATTTTGGTAGGAAAATTTCTTGGACATTGATAATGTTGCCGAGACGCATTTCGCGATCAAACATGGACGGTGCGTCACATTAACCAGTCTAGTCGCCGCTCAATGTCTATTGTAATAACTCAAGTAACGGTTTCCGCAATCCCTCGACAAAAAATGAGTTCCTTTGACAAATCTGTCATTTTCAGTTCCTTGCATGGAACCATGTTGTTTAACTTTAAAAATAAACTTCACTGATTTTGCGAATGAATTCTCCCAAGTAATCAAAACGTCTGCCATTCACAGCACGCTCGACAGAGAATCCAACAACTTTGTTTAACTTTCCGGCTTTAATGAAATGTGATTWTTGTGGAATTAGTTCGCACTGAATAATATCGCTAAAATGTCGCAAAAAATATATGTCAATCTAATATCAATACCWTTCAGTCGCAGGTCGCAATGCAAACAGCTTTTGCGCAGCCAGCATAATATATTTAAAGCGTCTCCATGACACCCTCTAGAAGGATATCTTAGGCTAATTTACAGATATACAGCCATAGTCAGAGAGCCATTCATATCAAACTATGAACGATTCTCAAGCCAACATAAGTTCGGGAAACAAATACTGCAGTAGGTATCAACAACCAGACAACGATCTTGAGGATGATTTGAAACGCGGTGCAATGACCCTCTTGATTACATTGGGACTTGCAGGAAACATCTTTGTGATAGTACTCGCTATGAAATACACAGTACGCAAGAACCTGCATCATTTGATCATCAACATGGCCGTGTCAGATACTCTCTACATTGTTATGAAGATAATCTACGAGATCGTGTTTCTRTCGAAAAACAAATTGCCCAGGTTAACATATTCTGATGGTATCGTCGGTTCTATTCTCCAGTGCAAACTTCAGCCATTTGTTATTGCTGTCTCATRTAGGGTCTCGTTGGYTACTATTCTGATAATCAGCATCGAGCGATTCAGAGCAACWAGAAGAACRTTGCAAAGGTYACGYGCTTACACATTAAGACAACGCTTTKYAGCARTCGRTATCTCTTGGTTGATTCCTATGTCATTGGTAGCTTATCGTTTGCACTATGTGAAAAGACAACCAAAGACATATAATTATTGCGTTACTAAGAATTCCAATGTTCAATATTTTGACTTGATCTCTTCATTTTCTAACTTTATTTTTATGACTGTTATATTTGTACTCAGCATTATAACAATAAGACGACTTTCCAGACCTCAAGCCATCCACGTTCATCTCAACCAAGAACAGCGAAGAGCTCGAGCCCGTCAAACACTCGCAGCCGTACGAATGGTTCTCGCGTCTATCCTGCTCTTTGCATRTTGTTGGCTTCCATGGTTTAGTTTTAGGTTTTTCTTGAGACTGAATGATTATTTKGACTTGATGTTTTTTACCGATATTTGCATGGACCCATTATCGTCTCTTTGGTTTATCCAGGGACCGCGGAGCAGGGGGGGCTGGGGGGCTACAGCCCCCCCAATAATATTTCCGACATTTTGAATTTTCTTAAATAAAGAAGCGAAGAGCCTCCTTATGAATTCTTTGGGATTTTATTGATAATAATGCTGACCCTGTCTGCGGTAAATATGTCTTGGATAACGCCTCAAAACGCTGGAAATGGCATTTCCAAGAGTTAAGATTTCAGAAATTCCCGACCCCCCTAGTACCTCCTCGCCGCTAGCCCCCCCAAACGAGATCCCGCTCCGCGGTCCCTGTTATCATCAATGTTTTTCTTCCTCTTTTCAACAGTTGTTTCAGTCCCTGTATTTATATTATATTTCTGTCTGATTTCCGGGAAGCTGCCAGGAAAGTACTGTGTCAGAACCGAGTAGATGATCTCCACTACTACAGATGGAATAGCGAGGTCCATTTCGAAATAAAAGTGTTTAGATGAACACCAACAATTTTCCTTCCGGCTAGAAACTCAGAAACTCATTTTATGTAGATAAAAAAAATCCAAGACTTTGCAAACAGCAAACACAAATGGATTTGCAGCATTTRAAAAAATTATTTCAATCAACTCAGAAAAGTATTCTGAAATCCTCTTGTGTGGCCGTCTATAAGTTAACGACCTTATGCTTCAATAAATAAACAACAGCCATAAATAACGTAGTAGCCAGACAGTGATAGCTGAGTTCTCCTTAAAGGGACATCAGCATTCATTGCGTTCGTGTTTTAGATTTTTCATGTATAGAAAGCGAGACTTCGAATATCCATTCGCAATCCGTTTCTATCCATCGTTTTAAAGGTCGAACTTTACAGTATCCCTGTGCTTTTTAGTTTTGGGCTCCCCTTGCCGAACTTATACCGTATATGGAAGCAAAMAAGATGTCGTATTGTTGGAAAGCCTTTATAGTCATATCTGTTAATATCTGGTTTAATACGGACTTGACACTTATTATATACACAACTCTTGAGAAGATACCTGAATATGGATTGCAGGAAAAAAAATACAAAGAGTTCTACTCCCAAACTGCGTCTAAAAAATATTATATAGCTATCTTAATGATACTAACCGCTTAAATTGATGAGTTTCGGCGGTCTTCAAAACCTGCAGCAACTGTTGAAAATCTTCGCCAATATTGTGTTAGACGTTTTGAATTTA